TGATAACGAACCATTTAAATCATCTCCTAGTGTGAACTGCCGGCACTGCTTGGGAATTCGAGTTTATCCAATCTGTCAAGTCGAAAAGTATTGGCGGAGCACCCAAGGTCTGAGCAGTGCATGGAAGTTTGATATGAAAGTGAAGAACAGGGCTCATCAGGCTTTCACAGTCATGTTGGATTCCTGCCCTGCACCCCCTGCGATATCCGATTGAACAAATATGCTTTGGAAGATCGGTTACTATCTAGGTCCGATATCTCATGATGAAAATGGCCATGAAGTCTCTTCGCAGCGTCAACAGCTGCTCGGCCGGCTTTGATATGTTATTCTGGAGGGTGAGCTAAATGATGATTAAGGCATAACAGCAAAGACTCTGGAGAGGTGGCGGAATGATGATATTCTCACCGACCATACTGAGGGCATGAATCTGAACGACTAGCGTGAAGTCCTTATATAGAAGCGCAAATACGGAAAAACCCACTCTAATACCCAGTCGGTGTGTATACAAATAATACCAATACCCTCCGCTGAATTGTAGGGCGTTAACCTAGTCCTGGTTATGTACCAGAACTAGTTCAAGGGGAGAGATGCTGTGATGGCAGAACCAGGATATCTTGATTCAAAATCGTCGTCTATAGCCTCGTTCCTAGTTTTATAGATCATCGTCTTAGTACTTACGATAGCCGCCCTTCTCCTGTCGTTTCTCATTGTTTCTTGTATCAGTGCCCTAGCTGAGGCAGTTCAACTTCAATATTGGTGAATTGTTGACTGCACAGTGGCCAGATCTCTTGTCTACATCGCCAACTTAGCCGGGAGCAATTAAAGAACCATCGTAGATGATGCCATTCCAAGTCTTATGTTACATCTTCCTCATCCTTTTGGATATTAAGCAAAACAGAGCCAGCGCCGAGTATATCGTAAACCACAACACCACAGTAGTATCCCTGCATAACCAAATCACACGCGACCCACACTATGCTCTACGCCATGTCATCTGCATCATGATGGTGGGTGTTTTCATTATCGGACGCGTGGAATGCGTCCCCGAACGCCGAGTTTTCCAGGTCCGGAAGATCGAGGACTTCGTTCTGCTCCGTATAGGCCGCCAGTGCATCGCCCGCACTGTCCATATTAGTAAAGTCAAAGTTGGCCCCGTCCAGACCATTGTCCCCCCCTGTGTTGCCAGGCGTCAGATCCTGTATTCCACTGCCTGGCGTTTCGATTCCATGGAGATGGGCATCGCCGACGGGAGGCTTGTCGCCATGGTCCTTCTTCTCGTCGTTGACCATTACCCAATCCCCAGTTTCACCTGCGGCTGTATTCACGGGCGGAGCATTGCCCAGATCCATCTCAACGTCCATACCGGGCATCGTCACACCCTGCTGGGGCACGGCAGCTGTTGGCTGCAGCGGTGCAGCAGCATTGACACCAGGGACCTCTGAGACACCTGGTATATTTGCCGTTGCGGCTAGTTCTGGAGCGGAAGGTGCACCTCCTTGAACGGGGCCGGAGGGAGGTGGAGAGCCAAACTGGTTGAGAAGAAGGCTATCGGCGTGCTCCATGTCGATGTCGGTATCTAATGGGGCTTCTGGCTTCTGCTCGGGTTCAATCTTTTCTAACAAGCCACCTTTTTGGACGCAAGAAACCTTAGGCTCCGGCACAATCTGCTTGTTCCACGAGGTTTCGAGCTCCTTAACCACATCATCCACCTTGTACTTAGCCTTGGGCTCGGACACAGGCGGTGTTTGAGTCTCGTCGCCTTCAGCAGGGACCTCAATGCGGCCTTCCAGTCTCCACAATTCAGTCCCTGTGGCGTTCGGATCTGCCGCCGCTTCCCGGAGTCGGAGTTCCGCGTCTTTCAGCAATGAGGTACGGTTGAACTTCTCCATCCGGCGCGCATGTCGCTTCTTCAGCTTCTCAATCTCGGCAGTCATGTCCGCCACCTTCTTCGCAACACGGTCGGCAAACTCCTCCGCCTTCGCAGGCTCCATCTTGGTAGCCTGGGCAGAATCGGCCGCATCTTTAGATTCCCCACTAGCAGGTCCGGAAGGCGCATCGAAAAAGCCCGCCGTCAACGACTCCAACTCTCCTTTGCGACCCAGCCCAAGAGAGACGGGAGTAATCTGGCTGATGGCGTACGGTGAAGCAAAGATCTCTTCCATCCATTCATGGTGTTGTTGATATCTCATTTTACTCACTTCCCGTGGGGTAAGAAGATCCATCATGTCGCCTGTGGAAACATCCTCGTCCTCGAGAGCGAAGTCAGCAGTGGCGGCATTCACTGCAGCCGACGAAGCGCGGTGTCCACGGGGCGCCTTGGCCGGTGCTGCTCCTGCCGGAGCGGGCACACCTGAACCAGGCTGGGGATAGAACGGTTGACGGCCGACCATGGCACTCGGATATGCTGGTGGAACTTGTGCGAAACCTTGCGGGGCAACCTGTGGGGGGAAGTTGATCGTCGGCCAGTTATTGCGGTCGTGCAGCATAAAGTCTTTGCGGGCAAGCTGGCCTTGGCTTTGCAAGAATCGACGTTGGCCGAGCATGCTTTGGACTTGAGGGGGCACATGAATTCTGTTGGCCGGAACATGCTCGGTAGGAGGTGCTCGTGAGTAGTGAACGATCCATAATGACGGGTCGGGCGGGGGCATGTTTGGGTTCGGGTTCTTTGAAGGTAGCAACCGGTAGCGTCTGCGACAATGGATCGCCATTGTCTCGTTTGGTGGGTGGTAGCCACTGCGGTGCAGCCACATCTCGACCAACTGATGCGCTCTCATGTCAGTCATTATCCTGGCCACCAGACAGCAAGTCCTTAGAGATCGGGTCTACCTACGTAACCGCGGGCTTCGAAGGTGAACGCCTGCTCGACGTCGGCCCACACGTAACCATCGCTGGCGAAGTTCGTTCCCAAATGATTCAAGGGCTGCCAGGTGAGCATGACAGTGCCATCTTGAGGTCCATCCAGGAAGGTCCAATGCATCGGCTGCGCCTCCCGTACAATCTTAGGTGCGCCGAGGAGGTATTCGACGACGGTGTCGGTGGGCATCATATGCATCAGTGGGAATCGGTGTCGCGACACCAGGTGCATATGCGGCAACTGTGGGAATCGAAATGCAGGTTAGACATTTGGCCCGTAACATTGCATTGCGACTTGGATCAGTATAGATTGGCCTACCAACTGCCCGGGGACACGGGTCGCTGGGTCGTCCATTGTGAATAGACGCCGTCGCAATCAGGAAGAAACGTGTCAGTGCTTTCGTAACAAAATCAAACCCCTAGATAATAGGTAACAGGAAATGCATCCGAGACGGGGAGTTCAACCGGTCGGCAAGAGACAATGAGAACGAATGGACGCAACGAGCAAATGCCTTTGCGAACGCGACGCGGAAATTTGAGGTTCCTTTCCCCGAGAAGCTTGAGAGTCACGGTGACGGTTGGGGAGGGGATACCGACCTCAAGCGCAGATTAGACACCTGATATATGAGGCGATGAGAACGGCCAGGCGATACACAAAGCGGAGCAACCAATACCCGGCAGAACACAGACTCACTTGGCGATTACATCACGGCGACAAGATTATTAAGCAGTATATAAACGCTCTGTGCTTGCTCAGTACTCAGTAAGTATATACTGTTGCTCGGTTATTCTTATAGTAACGTAACTGATAAGCGAGCGGGCCAGAGAATCGGGCGGGCCACCTTGTATTCTGTCACAGAAATCATAACGATTATGCGAGGTGACTGTACAGTGTACCCTGCCCCAGGTGCATGGACATCTCAGCAGCCGAACAGCACCTTCGGTGTCCATATCAGTCACCTTTTCAATAACGAATAGTGGCCCCCCTCTGAGAATTTAGTATTCCATACAAAGAACTTTAGAGATTCTCAGCTATAAAGGAGCAACGGAAGTAATGGAGGAAAGAATGAAGAATCAGTCTCTGTTCATAGACTATTTACTGTTGTTTTGCCTACGTATCCTTACCTAGTCGACAGGTCTTCTACCCTGATTAGTAGATAATCTTCACATATTCCATATAAAATGGTACTTTTATAATTCAATTATCTCATCAACCAGAGATAGTAATAATATAATATCTTCTACTAGTATAAATATAGGGTATTTAAATAGAGTATATATTTTAGTAAAATTTTAATAATTTTTTTTTTAAGACTTTAAATATAATTATATATAAATTACCAAATACATTGTAATTCATATTACTTAAGATATTATTAAATCTAGATTTTTTCCCATTTAATATATATATCTACAGGACTAAATTAGTATATATACTAGAATTCAGATTACTACAAGTATTGGTTATTAAGATACTCAGTTTCTAAAAGTGCCATTTTATATGGAATACAAGGTGGCCCGCCCGATTCTCTGGCCCGCTCGCTTATCAGTTTCGTTACTCTGGCTTCGGTTAGTAAATAATCCTGGAGTAATTTTAGTCTATTCTCTTTTATTACTAGCAGGTTTCCATACTGTGTATAGATTAATTGATCCATTATCAATTTTTAATATTACCCTATATTATCAGCTATTCTTTCTATTTAAGTTTCATTAAATTTAACTATTTCTTAATTTGTTATTTGTTGCTAAATCCCGCATTTCCTTCTTCCTGGGGTAATAATACAGTACAGCTTCTCTTCCTCGTCCGATACGAATCATTACAGTGGGACATTAGGTTCTCCTCCATCCATGGATCCATATTAAGATCTACTTTCGCTTGTTGCACAATTCAGCTCCAGTCAACATGGTGAAAAAGGTTGATTGCTTACCGCTACCTACGATGCAGATCTTCTCCAAGGAACAGGTCGTATTCCGAACGACTACCGAACTCGGCCGGACAAATAGGTAATGAATGGGATATATTATTGGAGTGACTGGATGGAATTATCTAGACCTGTCCGATCTAGACGACTACAGATCTTCAATCATTGTTTTTATAGGTTTTACTCCAACGAATTCTGCGACTCCCGGTATACTAAAACCCTCGATTATGAACGAGGCTCATGCGATGTACCAACCGGCTCCAGGCCGCCAGTCAGAATCGTATCTCGACTTTGTTCGTCCTGGGTGCTCTGAAACACCTCATACTTGCGATCATGCCAATACGCTGCGCTGACCGTTTCATTGTTGCTATCCTTGAATATCGCATGATCGCTGGGGCGCAAGAAGTAGGCAATCGTGTATCGATCGATCTCTTGCCCCGGGACCGGGATCACACGGTGCAGGCAGGATCGCAACACCTTCTTCGACAAGAAGCGTAGCGAATCACCCACATTGATCACTGCATGGCCCGGACGCGGTTCGATGAACTCCCACTCCGTTGACTCTTGGGCCATGACTTGCAGCCCCCACTGATCAGTGAAGAGAAAAGTGATACTGCCAATGTCGGTGTGCTTATTGTGGCCGATCTGGTTCCCTTGCTGCGCCGGATCAGTGTATGGATATTTGAGGAGGACTAGAACCGAGTTCGACTCCACCCCGGACTGGTGGAAGTTTTCCAATCGCTCGGCCGATGGAAGATTCATGGCATCTGATAGAGCTGAGATGAGCTTTAAGCTCACCTCTCTGGAGTGTTGTAAATAGCTGCTAAATAGGTCTCTGTCAGCCTCCACTTCCTCGGGGAAGTTGGCACTGGGGTCTGCTAGGATTTTGTGGGACACCTAGTTGCAGCTAGATCTTAGCTGTGATTCCCAAAAAAATTGAATGTTGAAAAAAGTTGGATGAGTCCCTACTTTGAGACTTTCATACGAATCCCGAGTATTTTGATATGGACCGGCAAACGCGCCGACAGGCTTATAACTATTTATGTGTGAGTTACATGATGCTGGATCTTAACGCAATAGGAAACATACCCGTCGATGTGGCTTCCTCTAGCATATTTCTCCTTCACCTCGTCGGATTTACTAAACCAGTTGGCCATGAAGTCGTAGATCTTGTCTCGCTCGGCCAGAAGGGTTGAATGATCTCGCATGTCTAGATAAAAGAAGCCCTCCTCCACACAGACGGAGAGTAATCGGGCAACCTCAGCAGGGTCATTATCAAGTAGGTGGCGGTAGGCAATGGTTGGCAACTTTGCGATCTTTTGCCCTGGTGGTTGAATGGACCCCATTGTGTAGTGGGATATATTAAAAGGGGAGGCCTGGTGAATGGTGTTTGTCTCCTGCCGGGATAATATAGGAGTAGGTAGGACGTTTGATTTGACGACTCTTCACCCTGGTTTAGTGTATAAGCTGCCCTGATCCACTTCTACTAAGAAAATTACTACTCCGGAGTAGATTGACTTTTCCAACTCTATTTAATTCTGGCACGTACACTTGGTAATTCGCGAATTGAAGATGAAACATTGTTACCGCAACTGAAGAGTGGAGACAACCAAACCTTCTGCAATTGAAACTGTATGGGTGGCTGATACTTTGTTTTTGAAAGTTACTCGTATTATACTAGGGCTTGCGGGATATATTTGTCTTATCACTGTCCTCATCTCCTGAATCATCTCTATCTAGGCTCAAGAATGTCGAAGCTTCTGCTCTTTTCCGAAACCTCGAAAAATCCGGCTCTGATAATCCCTGCTACCAACACGCAGAAGACCATTCACCTTTCCTATCATGCTCTTCATAATGTCGTAGTTAAAGCACAAATCCGCCTGGCGGAGCTAGGCATCGGACCCGGTAGCAAAGTTGCATTAGCCATTCGAAATCGCATCGAGTTCGTCATCACTTTCCTCGCTCTCATTCGACAGGGTGCGACTACATCCCCTCTGAACCCGGACTTTGCGGTGCGGGAGAGCTCTGAAATCCTGGGATACATGAAGCCGATGTATACGATCGTGGCGGCAAACCACCGGAGCGTAACATCCGACCAGAATGTCATCGAGGGCTCCAAGCTGCAGGGTGTGCCTGTCGCTGAAGTGGTGTGGGACAGCGAAACCGGCAGCATCAACATCACCACCACGAACCAGAGGGGGGAGGAAGCGGCAGCGGTAATCGCTGCAAAGGATATTCAACCAACTGATCCTGTTCTTCTACACTATACAAGTGGGACAACGGGGAGACCCAAGGCCGTGGAGCTGACGCACCAGATTATCACTGCGTCCTGCGACATTATTATCGCCGCTCATGAGCTCACAGCTCGGGATCGCACGATGCTAGTGGCACCGATGTTCCATGTAGGTGGAACATGTTCCTCTCTCTTTTCAACCCTCTGTTCTGGAGGCTGTGTGATCATGCCTCCCTCCCTCTCGAGTACGTTCTGGCATCAGTTTCAAGAGCATGGGGCCACCTGGTATCATGCCGTCCCGACCCTCCATCGTCTGCTTCTCTCCTTCCCGCGGCCGAAGCAGCTAACCGACCTCCGGTTCGTCCGGTCTGGTGGAACCGGCATCTCCGCCGATTTGATTCAATTGCTTGAGAAAGAGCTGGGGTGTCCGCTCTTGGAAGGGTATGGGATGACGGAAACTGCGCAGGCGGTATTTACCAACCGTGTGCGAGACACCATTCGAGGCCCGGGATCTATCCTATTCCAGACGATCTCGACGTCAAGTTTCTCGTCGATGGGGAAGATCAAACCCCACGCCTCGTTTTCCATCCTAGCGCGAGCGGTGAGATCTGTGTGCGCGGTGGCTGTGTCATTGCTGGCTATGCTGAGGGCCCTGAAGTGAACGAGGCCGCATTCTTTGACGGATACTTCCGGACAGGGGATTTAGGGATGCTTTGTGATGATGGATATATCCAGGTCACCGGACGGATCAAGGAGATGATAAACAAGGGCGGAGAGAAAATCAGCCCGTATGAGATTGAGGAGTTGTTGATGACCCATCCGGCTGTCAAACACGTTGCTTGTTTCCGAGTACATGATGACGCCTACGGAGAGGAAATCGGTATGCAACTACGTCTCCCTTGACAAATGGGGATTCTTTGCTAATTCTCTCTTCTCACAGGCGTTGCCATTGTTGTTCGTGAAGGCCACAATCCAACAGCGTTGGAGATTAAGAGATTTGTTCGACTGAATGCGAGTCTATTCAAGGTCCCTAAGAAGGTATGAATTCTCTGTCCTTGAGTTACACATAGCTCCAGCTCTCTCGCCTTTCGCTAACCATTATTAGGTGATTTTTGTGTCAGCACTTCCAGTCAATCGCACAGGGAAATACCAACGAGCAAAGCTGGCTGAGGAATACGGTAGTTGAGGTATAACTCCTTGTATAAAATGTAGCGCTCTCAGCGACAGGAAAGAAAACACTTCAGCTGCGCCAGTCACTGGTGGGTTTGTCACCCTATGGTATTCCATATGGAGCAAGCATTTTTAGAGCCAAATTAACTCAGCCAATGATGATATGCAGTATTGCTGGTAACCACTCCGTACTGAAATCGAGTATGAAAGATCGTATCGCCAATCTGCGGTATATACCCCGCGATCTAGACTCTCGTGGGCTGTGGCAGGATACCAAATCCTCCGTATTATACTCGTTCCACTCACGATCTCTAAGCGAACCGCTCCACTCTCCATAAGGATCGACATCGTCTGTTCCTACCCTGCCTTTAGCGTATAATACTAGAGAATCTAAAAATACAAGAATTCTGTTATTCACTAGAGAATGAGAATGGCCAGTACAGAACGACTCAATGCCGCTTGCCATGTTGACCGCTTCGCACCAACAACGCTTTAAGTCCAAATCATAGAGCGTATCAAAAAATAATATTAAAAAAAAGAGGTGAAGAAATGGACAAAATCCTGAAAGAAATATGGGCGTCCGTGCTCTCTCTAGAGGTGGAGGAGATTGGAGACGACGATAATCTATTTGAATGTAAGATAAAGTCCCCATACATTTGTGTCTGATGTATGGTAGAACTAACTACATAATGATCAGTGGGTGGTGACTCGGTAGGCAATAGCGATATTCATCTCTCTCTCTCTCTCTCTCTCTCTCACTGTCTCAGACGCTGACCATGAAAACAGGTTAAAGCAATTATTATTATGGGCGAAGCTGCCGGTCACGGCATTGACTTTGACATTGAAACCTTCTATGCCTGTATGTGACAACCAACCTCCCTACAAAGGAGGCGACGAATAGTTCAGCTAATATTCTTCTTGAACCAGATCCAACCATCGGAGGACTGGCGAATTTCCTCTCCGGGGGTCAGAGCCCGGCACAGGAAAGTAGTGGCTTGCAATATCTTGCGTCCAAGGAACCTGTTATTGATGAAGCAGCCACACTGCAGAAATTCTGCTGGGAAGATGTGGGGATATCGGTCGCAAATATAAGCAAAGTAGCACCAGTTGATTTCGGCCAAGGTTAGCCTACTCCCTCTGGCTGAAGTGACGAGAATATCCATACTGAACCTTGTTCTAGGACATTATCTGGCAGAGAATGAAAAAGGGATTCCAGGGTCATCGTTGGCTTTTGCATATGAGGTGCAAGGAGGACCAGATGTTCCACAACGACTGCAACGAGCGATTGAAGTCATGTCGACCATGAATCCCGCACTCCGGTCCACCTTTATCAAAATAGAGGAAGAGGGAAAGGAGAAGGCTACCTACTATCAGGTTCTATTGAAGGCCCACCACCCAACCATACACCGTGCATCATCCAAAGTGGAAGACTACGTGGCGCAATCGCGACAAAGAACCATTCACCCCGGTAGCCCAATAGTACAGTACGCGTTGGTCGAAGACCAAGGAACTCTTTTCTTCATATTGTCGATCTCCCATGCATTTTTCGACGGCTTTTCTCGAACACTCTGGGAACAAGACTGGTTGAACGCGCTCAAAGACCCAGAGACATTCGCCAATGAACAACCGGAACGGCCCTGGTTTGGAGATTTTACGATCCATCGAAAAGAAACCCTCGATGAATCCGCCGCCGAGACCTTCTGGACGATTTACCTGGGGGATTCGTGTCTGGAGACCATCCACCCAGGGAAACCAGAAAAGTTTCATATCCACGACTCCGTGCTGCATACCGCGTTCCCCAAGACGCTCGTGAAAGGGCGCTCTTTCCACATCGCAACCGCCATCCTTCCCGCGTGGTCATTGGCATTGATGAAATTCTCGGGCAAACAGGACGTCACCTTCCTCTATGCCACGCTAGGCCGCCTCTATCCATTCCCGGACATCGACCAGATCACCGGTTTCCTCCTGCGAAGTCGCCTGTTCCGCTTACAGATGAACGAGGCCAATGCCGACGTCCCAGTGGATGTGCTGTTGGAATCCGTTCAACAGGACTTGATCTCCACGGGCCGTCAAGAGCATGTTCAAAAATTGCCCTACATTGGCAGCACCACCATGCCACAGTCCTATGTCAACATCAAGGCAGGCACATCCAGTCTCAAAAAACAGCAGATCGATGAAGATTTGGTGGTGATTCCCCGTCGCGACTTGGAGTATTGGGTCTTCTTCTGCAGATTCGCCATCTACCTCGATATAGCCGTGCGAGACGACGATATCTTGGTGGAATTCAGATACGAGTCTTCTCTCTTACCATCGGAGAGTGCCCGGCAAATTCTCGATAGTTTTACTAAAATTCTCAGGCGAATCGTGGGCTCCTATGACACCACCTTCAGCGCCTTAGTGGAGTAATCATATCATTTGTTTAAGTGGTTAGGAGGAATATCATCCTTGCAGAATCAAGTAGATGCACGATCTGATAGATTGCAGAATAGAAAAGCCTCAAAGCAGTGTGAATATATAAGCCAAGCTGCTCAAGCTATTCACCGTGTTGTATTCAATCCTATCAGCGAGCTATGAAAGCATTCTTGAGTGGTTTGTGGTTGAATGTGAACTATTCACGTCTTCTACTTTACTACATACTACGGCTGCCGCTCACGACAGCCTGTTTTTCTACTATACCCCTATTACAGCGAGGCCTATTAAACCCGCTGATACTAGCATGCCGGTTATATGCCCCATTGGTGAGAGGGGCCAAACTAGAATGCTCTGATTCTGAAAATGCATAACAACTAAGACAACCCTAAACAACTTGGATTCTGAGCGACCCTCCTCCCTAGTCGCAGTCTATCATCAGGCAACGTCTGTTGCGTCTGCAGAACCTCAAGCCCGCACGTCGCCCATGTTGTAGCCAAAGAAGTGGCCCGGTCAGTAATATTCTTTCTGTATACTTTTGCAATGACATGGTTAATCTAATAGCTAGACAGATCCTTCTATGGTCTGAGATGCTTTTGATCCACTTCCCGGCCGACAATGGGATAGCGTTGTACCGGTCTGACGACCCGGGATTTTTATTCCTTCCTTTTGATATCCCATTCTTTATAGATTTTGAACTACGAGATCAAATGAGGAGAGCAGCGGAAGAAATCAGAGGCAGAAAGGTTAAACGCGAAGTACCTACTAAGGGTATGTATGTGGACCATCTCATCCGCCACGATTCTACAGAAGGCGTTTACAAGCCCATGTTTTTGAAGCATTGCCTGCTGAATGGGAGAGTCTCCCCAGAACAACTTGGACTGTTAGAAAATAAGAAGTGGTATGGCGCCCCTCTGGTAAGTTTGCGGCGAGCCATTTCAGCGCCAGGCAGTGGACGCGTTTGTACGCTTGACGACACTACAGTGAATTGTTTACAAAGGCTACGGGACCTCTATTTTCGAGCACAGCCATCGAGACCCGGTATCATAAACGCCCCTTTGAATGACCGCATTATACTACCCACCAAGTCTGCGAGCGGTATGCTAGCATCCTTGCCTGCAGTGAGATAGGGTGGGGATAACTAAGAGTAAAGGTGGAGCCGCGCACGGATGTTTGGATCGTGACTACGGCTGAAGTTCTGGGGATGAACAATCCTATGGAGTATCAGTGTTTGGTCATTCCTCCGTCGATATGAGTCGTTCCACTTCCACACTAAGTTCTACCTTGATGTAAAGCTTCGTTCATTCACGAATTGCCTCTGTCCGTGTTGTACTATTGAAGACTATTCACCAAACCCTAACTGGAGAATAATACTGGCAGGCCAGCCTCCAACCTCTGCATAGGATATTCAGTTTCACGTCGGAACCCTTTCCGTTGTATTGTACTTTATTTTTATTACTTTTATTACTTTTACTATTATTATTATTTCAACAACCTTGACAGAGAACCCCTTCATGACTAAAGTCCTGTTCCATAGTAGTACTAGTGCTACATTCTGACACATAAACTGCTTCATGTCGGTATGTACATGCAACTGCCCCCGTACTTGCAAAGTGTTTGAAGTCGGATGCCGATGTCACGTACCTTGCATATCAGATTGCCAGCCTCCTCCGTCGGTAGAACGAATTAGCGATCCATTCTGAATAAATCCATAGAGACATGAATCCATAGGACGCTGTCAAAGGAAGATAAAATAAAATAGAATAGAATAACATAACAAGTCTACCGAGTAACGATCAGGCACACTACCGTCAATGCACTTAGTGTGGACGGTGAAAAGAGAATGACAGTCGAAGTACCGAGTACTCCCGGATCTCATAAGGTATAATAACCCTTCCCCCGCCCCCAAACAAGCCTTGCGCAAGCTTTGGTGCGGTATTGCCGGCACCAAACCCGAACGGGAAGCTCATAAGCCCGCCACGATCGCCGAACTGGAAAGCCTAGTCGAAGCTCTCTCCGCAATTGGCTTGTGCCCGGGAGTTCACTCATCCTCCCCGTGCTTGATGCATCGTCCAGTTTCCAATCGTGACTCACGACACTCCAGTCTAGATATCAGTCGGCAAGCATGGTACCCGAATTCAATGGCCTTCCCCCACCACTACCACCCAATGGTCTGGCCGTCACCAGTATTCAGTCCAAGTATTCAGCTCTCGTCCTTGCATGGCGTCACTCCTCCCATGTGGGACGCTGGCACTTGTCCCATTTCCGGTTAACTTTTGCTGATCTTCCAATAGACTCAATAATGGCCCTGGTCGCTAAACAAAATTCTCCGACATGACACGCCTATAAAAGATCCTCCGTCGCTCGTTCAAGTTCTTTTTCGCTTCCTCAACTGCTGTTGGTGTTTCACCGCGAACCTCTCTCTCGCCCTCGCGTTCCCCCATCAATCATGGGTTTCTTTGGAAAGAAAGACCCTTCTGGTGACGAGATCAAAGAGGTTCCGATAATGAGCGACCCGGAGAAGCAGCAGCCGGTCCACCACGATGTTGTGCAGACCGCTCTTCCTCAGATTCCTCCGACGGTGGTCAACATTGATCCTGTCGTTGAAGCGCGCATCTTAAGGAAACTCGATTTGAGAGTTCCCACTCTTATGGGATTTTTATGTATGTCTCCACGTTCCCGCACTCTTCACCGGCGTTTTCAACGCGTGTCTAACAACTTGTATGCAGACCTGCTTTCTCTTCTCGATCGAAGTAATATTGGGTTCGTTGGTATACCTCCATGATGAGAAGATCAAACTGACCAAGAACGAAGAAATGCGAAAATCGCCGGGATGGAGGATGATTTGGATCTCTCCGGAAATCGCTATGCCTGGCTCCTAACGATCTTTTACATCTCCTATGTCGTGTTCGAGTTTGGGGCCTTCATGTGGAAGGTCATGCCGCCTCATCGATGGGCAGCCATCACGGTCTTGTCCTGGTAAGTCAAAGACATCCTCAACCACGATGCCTCGCGAACCTCTCTAATCCACCGTAAGGGGCATTGTGGCGACATGTCAGGCCGCGGTCCAGAACTGGGAGGGACTCATGGCTTTGCGGTTCCTGCTCGGCATGTCAGAGGCTGCCTTTGGTCCCGGAACTCCTTATTTACTGTCTTTCTTCTATCGCCGTCATGAGCTCGGCTTCCGCTGTGGGCTATTCGTGTCAGCCGCCCCTCTGGCGAATACATTCGCCGGTGCCCTTGCGTATGGAATTACTTCGGGTCATTCCAAGTTAGCGAACTGGAGATTGTTATTTCTGGTAGAGGGCAGCCCGTCATTGCTGGCTGCTATCCTAGCCTGGCGATTTCTCCCCGACAGCCCGTCCAAAGCCCGGTTTTTGACGGAAGAAGAGAAGGAGGTTGCGCGGGCAAGAAGCCTTCAGCAGAGTGGCGAACGCGAACGGTCGAACAAGATCAATTGGAGAGAGTTAGCCGAAACACTAACGGATGCGAAGGCCTGGCTAACCGCGGTATGTTGATGCTGAGTTCAGAACGTTTTAGTTGTGCTGGTGGCGCATGATAGCTGATTGACAATGTGGTTTAGTTGATGTACTTCAGCTGCAACGTGAGCTTTTCTTCACTTCCGGTGTTTCTGCCCACGATCCTGAAGGATATGGGGTTCACTTCGATCAACGCCCAAGGGCTTACGGCGCCGCCCTACTTTGCTTCGTTCCTGGTCACAATTGCCACCACCTGGATCGCGGATCGGTTGCAACAGCGTGGTTTGATGCTTATGGTCCTGTCTCTGATCGGAGCTATTGGCTACGTTCTCCTCGCCACCTGCACATCTGTGGGCGCGCGTTACGCAGGGGTGTTCCTCGCTGCTATCGGTGTATTCCCTTGTATCGCGAACATTCTCCCATGGGCTCTGAGTAAGTGCCCTCCCAGTACCTGCTTCCTTACCTACATAATCGGGAGGCTAACGAACATACACCAGATAACCAAGGCTCGGATTCACGACGGGGTATGGGTATTGTCATCCTCAATCTCATCGGCCAATGCGGACCCTTCCTGGGCACAAACGTCTTCCCGGAAAGCGACGGGCCACGCTACATCCGCGGACAGTCCATTTGCGCCGCCTTCATGTTCTTCACCATGATTCTCGCGCTCGCTCTCCGAACCCTTCTCGTATGGGAGAACCGCCGCCTAGACAAGCGGCATGGCACGCAGGCCGAGCGGGAAGCACGGGGGTGGAACAAAGGCGAAAATGTCGCCGAAGAGAATTATGGAGCTGGATTCCGGTACGTGCTATAGAGATGTAGACCCGAAAGTAACGATGCTGGAAACGAATGCTACGATGTGACGATGGGATGTGAAATCTGGATTATGTATACCATAATATTAATCCAATGCGGTTTACGAACAAACCTTTCTTTCTTTTTACGTTTCACTCTTAATTGTTGAATAACAGTCGCGTGCCATTAAGGTGAGTCGCTTAGTCGGAGCCTGGAAGTATGCCTCCCCGGTCCTAAAGTGGTTAAATATTTAAGTGGAGGGGCAACAATCAGTTCCACTTCGCAAAATAAGCAGCAGCTGAAGCTCACTTATCTACCCCTCGAGATTTTCCGGGCGATTGACTAATTCCCTCCACAGACTAGTCAACCCTAGACCCAGTAACTACGATCCTGAGACATTTCCCCATAGCTTCGACGCACCTCTATACAGCACCAAGGAACAGCCCACCCAGATACAAGGTACAGGTACATGGTCCTCGCCCCCCAGATCACCGGGAACCCCACAACTAACTGCCGAAGTAGAGGGTACGTACGGTAACATACAGCCACCATGGCCTATGCATCAGAACACAATGCCCATCTTTACGGGATCGTGGATATGGGCAGGTAATACCGCAATTCCCTTCCACTTGAACTGAGTTTACAGAATTAACATCACCCCCAGCAATGGAATCCGTTTCTCCATCACCGACATCTCACCCCCGACAGCGCGCACAATGCCCACCGTTTACCAGGACCGGGCTGGCATCTCGCTCTACGATGCCCAGTTCGCTGGTAGCGCGCGCGGCCCCATCCCGCAGGACATTATAGAGCAGGTCGTGGACCGGTTGGTGCGGTTCCAGATTACGTGCGAGGATTTCGGCGTCCCAGCGCAGAATGTTTACGTGCTTGCTACGGAGGCGACGCGGACGGCGCCGAATTCGGAGGAGTTTCGGGCGCGCATTAAGCACCGCACGGGGTGGGAGGTGCGTCTGCTGTCGAAGGAGGATGAGGGGAGGATTGGGGCGCTGGGTATCGCGAGCAGTGCTTCCTCGGTGGCGGGGCTGGCGATGGATCTCGGGG